TCGTCGGTTGGGGTATTCATCGATAACAACGTTAAACCCCTACGTATTACTTTACAGATTGTTTCTATACCAACTTGTTTGTTTCCTGTTCACGAGACTAGCCAGTTTATTCTTGTGTTGACAGCACCACACGACGGCTGTTTTCCTCTTAGCCTTCCTTATCGTTGTTACTTGGATGGCCGATCAGAGTTCCTCCAAAGGTTGGCAACTGTACAAAAGATTTACTACTTTCTACTTCGGCAGGGGAGGCAAATCGAACCTTGATGCTGATCGTCGATCCGAGTCCGATTCCTCTAATACTACTACCTCTTCAACTGACGGCAAGTGTTCTTCTGGTTTCGTCTATACTTATCTCAACTGGCTCTTCAAGCTGCGGTGGATTACCATACCAATTGTCATTGGTCTGGTGGTCGCAGGGGTCTTTGGTTTGATAGATGTATTCGAGGTGACTGATGATGACTTTGCCGTCCCTGCCAACACACGGTCGTATAAGAATAGCGAAGCCTACAACGATTGGTATGCACCTGTCCCATCTCATACCACGCCATCACCAACTCCATCACCAACACCAACACTACAGCCGACGAAGCCGCCTATGCATTACACTGCGGAGGAGACGATGCTTATTCAACGGCTTGATGGTAGTTCTTTGACTGAGGACTATCTCCTTTACAACGTCACTCGATATGTGTATGATGCATGGCAACCTCCGGAGTACCTTCTAACAAGCTATTACGCTTACAAGCAAAATGGCGATTTGCTCAAAGCCGAAGTGTTGATATCGGCGAATCACAGCGCGAGTATGATGGAGGTTTGGTTTGCTAGTAGCCTCTCCGGTGAAGTGAGGCAATTGGAAGAAAAAATGGTGCAGAATTTGTATGAGCACTTCGGGTCAGATGTCATTTATGTTGGTTTCACTGGTACTTACACTAACGACATTGAGGCTAAGACTATGACAGAGCAAGAAGTCATTCATTCCGATGCTATTGTTATTCCGGTCAGTTTTGTACTGCTAGCATTGGTTCTTCGTTCGTGGCGTATGATATTCATCCCCTTGGTGTCTATAGTGGTCACTGCTAGCTACACTGGTGGTATCCTCTACCTAATAGCTCGATACTGGATGAAGGTTACCTCAGCGGCTCCTGCTGTTACCGCCTTCCTCATTGTTGCATTGTCCTTTGATTATTCCCTTTTTATCCTCACTCGCTATCGGGAGGAAATGCAGTTACATGGTCGCACGTCCTTCGAGGCTCTTGGGCTCAGCGTTCGCCACAGTGGCCATGTTATTATGGGATCTGGTTCAACATTAACGCTCTGTTTTATTGGTCTACTCTTCATCCCAATTGTCCAATTTCGCTCACTTGGAGCCGGTCTGATGATTGCAGTGATACTAGCAGTCACAGTAAACTTGACAGTAATTCCCACACTCATGCTGTCCTTTCCTTCTTTCTTTTCTACATTCGGTTGTTTCGGGATATCCAGGATTTTCAAAAGTTGTTCCTCGAGAATCCCCCGCTGTAAGATTCCTTGCTGGTTCCATTGGGCTAAGTTCACGACAAAGTGGTATTCAACTCTACTGGCAGTTGCCATAGTAATAGGACTCGGTGTTCCATTCACCATATTCGTAACGGAAATGGAGACTTCTCCGGATATGACACTACTGCAACCTCGGGGTATGTCCACAGCTGAGACTCTTGAACGTATTCAAGAGTCGTTCTCACCTGGCTTGTGGGCTCCCTATACTATTATGCTGGGTTCCAAACAAGGTGTCATTTTCGACAGCCCTGATTATTGGCATGCCGCTCAAAGCTTTCAAGAAGAGTTAGTTGACACACTACTCGTGGGTCAGAATACATCAGCTCTCGCCAGTATTATGCTCGTCAAGATTGACAGTGTGCCAACTATGAGGGTGCCTTATTCAATGGCGAAGCTCGCCAATAGCCCTCTGTGTAAGCTTGATATATGCAGCTATTTTCAAGAGGGCTTGGAGGCTACCATGAATCCTGCCGGTACTGCTGTCACTGCGACGCTAGTCGCCGACCAAGCACCAACTTCCACAGCATCTGAGAAGTTCGTATACAATTTACGAGCTTTAGTTGACAAATATAATTCTCAATATGGCGATGTGATTGAAATAATAGAAAATGGTGTCAGCTGTGAAACATACGACTCTAATCGTGCTGTTATGGGCAGCTTTGTTATCACACTGGGTATCATTCTGGGCATCTGTATCGTTGTTGTTGGTTTCCTCTATCAATCCATCCTTATTCCGCTGAGATCAGTGGTTACTATATACATCACCTTGGTCTTCTCTTTCGGGTTTACGATAGGCGTTTTCCAGCTGGGTTGGTTCAACGGTCTTAACTGCGCCACTTTATCATCGGAAGTTTCACAAGGTCTCTCCTGGGTCGTGGTGCCCATCTGTTTCGCTGTGGTGCTCGGTTTGAGTCTTGACTACGAGATTTTTCTCCTCGGTCGAATAACTGAGTCCCGTCATCTTGGGTATGGTGATAAGGCCTCAATAGAGATTGGTGTGTGGAAGACTGGATCGGTCATTTCCATGGCTGGTATCATCATGGCAGTGGCTTTCCTTGGTCTAGTGCTCACTTCAAGCCCCATGCTCAATCAAGCAGGCTTCTTGCTGGTTGTTGCCGTCCTCCTGGATACGTTCGTTGTGAGACCATTTATGACACCTGCTTTGATGGCTATCCTTGGACGATGGAATTGGTGGCCACATAAAGTAACTCATGTGTGTTATAACGATAGCCAACACCTCCTCGACTTGGAACGAAAAGCGACTTCAGATGCTGCTGCAGCGAGTAGTGAGTCGTCGACTACCTCCTCAGAAGTTTAGCCCAGTGCTGCGTTCAATACAACATAGGCGTGTTAAGCTTCTGTGTGTAGACGTTGAGTACTACTAGTGCCATCGCATGGGATACTCCCATGCATTTACTATTGTCAGCTGAACATTATCATTCTTGCGGATCGTGTTTCCATTATTGTTGCCAACTTTCTTATTATTCTGTTTCTTAAGTTCCTCGATCTCGATCGTTCGAATACCATATGTCCTACCATCTCTTGGCATGGCTGTTCTCGTATCTTTCGAGCTGCCACCAAAGAGGGCAGGCCTCGCCTCTTCGGTCCGATGATTGCGTGCTTACCGAAGTTGTTGACTGTCATTTGTGCAGCATATTACACTTTATGCTTTATTGGATACGATTCTGGTGTTTTGTTAACAGTGCGTCACTCTCTCCAAATACGACATTGGATTCCGCACTTGAAGGAAAATGAATTATTTTTGTGATGATATTTCTCTCGCATGCTTGAATTTATCCCCATATCAAACTGAACACGAACTGCTGCTGAGCGGAAACTGCATTCCTATCTGAGATTATCGAGATAATCCAACGCGTCGAAGTCTAAAAACACATAGTCGAACAAGTTGTCGATAACCCTTCGTGTCGCTAGAGGGAAATGTAGTTTCAACATACGCTTATGAATACGCAGCCACAAACCAACTGATTGAAAAAGATGCGGTTCGCTGTGTTTCTTTCGAATGAGAAACTTGTGGGACTCTTTATAAGCCACTGTATTGCAAAGGGCTGTTAAATGTCGTAAAACCTGAAAGAGATCGAGCTGGTTATCGAGATGCTGTAACTCGAATTCTCCGAGGACTCTTAAGCATACCTCTGCATGTTCAGGCGTATATTCTTTATAGAAGGCCCGACGAGGTATGGCCGTCATTCTCCTGCGACGAGTAGCCTGCTTTTTGAATGAAGGTAGAGGGCCGACTTGCGATGAATCTTCGCCTGTGAGGGAGTCTCCTTTAGACAAACCAGAGACATTAACGTTACGTTCCATTTTAGCGAGATCAGAATCCGAGCTACTGCTGCTACTGCTGCTGTTTTGGTCTGCATTATCTTGACCAGTCTTTCTGGCAGCGTAACTCAAATCGTCGTTGCCTTTGCCATCTAACAGGATAAAGATATTAGACTTATATGTGACGAATGAAAGGTACTCACTGTATACTGATGGTGACAGGGCCGAGAACGGGTTGGCAGCAAGCAGTCTCTCAAGGGAAGCAGCCTCGGCGTCATCTTCCGATGATGCTGACATCGTCTCGGGAGCATCAGCATCGTAATCCACATAGGGATTCTGATAGTGATTGAGCATGTTCTCCGATCCTGCACGGCGCATGGAACGCGGGGACACCCCTGAAGCACCCGACTTGTCAACCATGGACTGATGATGAACCTACGAGTCTGCAGCTCATCCTCGCCATCAAGAGATTGGAACAACGGTGAGGTACCACGATTAGGATCTGAAGTCAAAATAAGTTCAGCGTCGAGCATTCAAGGTTCACCTTCAACTTCCACGACTGACAAGTCTGTCGAGGAAGACGCTGATGAGCTCGAAAGGTCGCTATACTCCTCCGTGGAAGACCTGAAGACCCTAGTAGTAGTTTCACAGACTAACAAACAGTGTTGGCATAACAAAGAGTACAAGCACTGACCATGAAGCGTAAGCACTCCAATTTCACAGCACATAGTATGATACATCGAATGGAACGTTATCTCATGAAAGCACGAGGAAACGGCATGGAGGTTACATTTCCTCATCAACAGGCTTCTCATCCTCCTTGTCCACCTGCTGGAGGAACTTGTCTATATCTATCGGTCCATGGACCACTGGGTCCCATCCCAGACTCAACAGAGGCTGCTGAGCACTAGGCACCGAACACAGCAATGAGAGTGCGTAAATGGCCGAACCTGACAATCGTGTACAAATGACGAGCATAGAACGATCCTACCTCGAAGACATAAATGTTTACAGTGAGTAGCCATCTTAACAAGAGTCTCCAAAGCCCCTATGTCTAGCAGGAGCTCCACACCTAGTTCGCCACCAGCACCAATGTTGGCAAACTGGAGAGCATATGATGATTAATGTATTGAAGTACGCTTACCGTCCACATGTACACTCGGCATTGTGTCTGACTCTCTCCGTCGGAATATCCGGGATCACCAGCGAAACATCGTTCAAGATATTCACGGGCGTCGACGAGCCACTAGCAGAGAAATTATAATCAAAGCCCCAAGGAGAAACCACTTACCGGTAACTTGTTCTGTCTCAGCCACTTGATCCCAACCGTGGTGCTCGCTAAGGGCCTGAAGGGTTCCGGGTCAAGATGTGACGAAGGTGCGGTATGGACTGACCGGCAAATGTGCAGAGGAGGGATGATGGATATTGGCGTGGAGCTGCTGGGCTCGAAACGGATAGGGAAACTCACTGACCGGACGCGAATCTTGCCGTCGTCACCCAGGATGAAAGTGACGATAACCCCACTCTTGGGACATTGCCTGAGATGAGTTCCGATTGTTTCGGTATGAAAGATAACAACGAGGCACCATCGATGGTATTTTCCACAAATGGCTTCCTCCTCCCCATCGATAGCAAGAGCGTCCCTTCGCATATCCGCGATGGGGATAGTACACCATTCGGGGTCCGACACTAACCCACCGCCATATACAGAACAATACCTTGCAAAATAAGCCTAAGTAGAAGGCTAGCAAGAGAGCCTACTGTGAGCCAATACAAAGGGCAACCTGGAAGTTCGTTTTCTGGGAGTCTTCGTCAACTTCCAGTGGTACCGGTGCGGCCACTACGAGATGAGCCAGAGGTCCCGCCTCTAGGATATTATGGGACTGAGGACGAGGAAGAGATTGTTGGTGATGTAGGATGAGTAGAGAGATACCAGGACTGAATAGGCCTTCAGCTGCTTGAGTATCTTCACTGATATCCTTCTTGATACCAACCCACCGACAGAGAACGACTCGTTGTTGAACTTGACCGAAATGTACCACGGCAGTCGGAGCAGCCAGGGGTATCTGAAAATACAATGGATGAGTACCACCAGCAGGAACAGGTATTAGGTACTGGAGGCTCTGATATTTGTAATTGACTGTGGGCTTGAGATAAGAAGGATTGGGTAGCACGAAGGCTGGATCGCGACGTTGTGGCTGTGATGGTGGAGGGAACTCGTCACTCTTGCTGCCGGCGATACCTATCGTGATGATGATGCTGCTGTTACGAGCGTTCTACTGAGCTTACCCAACTTCTCAGCCCGGTCCTTGTCCTCTAGAGCTTCACCATAGAAACCCACAATGGCGTGCTTGACACGCTCTGTCCAGAGAAGGTCGAGGACGTCTACCTGATCACATACAGACTCCTCCTCGTCGATGGTGTCATCATCATCGACCTACGTAGCGTTTCATCTCTTCATCAACCCACCGCTGCCACTCAGTTTCGAGCCAACCATCGAGGATATGCTTCTCGCACATCTCCTCGTTTGAAAGGAGGCAGAGCCGGACGGGGCAGTCCAGGTCGCTGAGGGATCCACCGTACTTGACCATCTCATCGAGCACGACATGATCGGTGTTGTAGTAGCTGCAAGAAGCATGAGAAAGCTAACAGCATACTGAGGCACTCACAGGGCTACGTATCCCATCGACGCCAGTGCTGTTTGGGCCATGGCCTGTGAACCAGCGATGTCCAATTCTAGATGCTTAACAAGGATCTGCAGCGAAGTTGAATAGTAGAGGCAGACAGAGGCTTACGCTAGTAACCCATCGCATGAAATCCACCTCCCCAGGATTTATGCGGGACACTGTAGAGGGCATGGGCTCACCATCCTCACCACCAGAGTCTACTGTAACAGCCCGTGTCCTGTTGTGTAGGGCGTCCTCAGAGCCTGAACCCATCACTGAGGCATCCTCCATATGGACAGGTACATTGGATACACACTGAATGTACTCATGAGCTCAGTAGTCATTGAGAGGATATAGTTCGAGTGAAACGCCGTTAATCAAGCCCAGGCTACCAGGTATATCCCGACGGCAGTCGAAGCTAGGAGCCACTTTCCTTCGAGGCTGACCTAAGAAATACATCCATCATCTCCGTACGTACAGTCGACTCGAGTGTTACTGGGCATTCCGACTGGATGCCACTTTCCGAATTCCATGCCAGACATTCTACTGGGGAACGCTGTAGCCTTTCGTGCACCGACAGCCGCACCGGCGGTGCTGTTGTTGTTGGGCATGTCATCGTCCCACCAGACTGTGTTGTCGTAGGGGCTCGCCATTCTCTTACTGCAACGAGACGTGCCGCCCTCTGGATCTGCAGATGATTAGTAGTTATAATCGTTGGAGTGATTTAGTCCGTAAAAGTATATTTCTTACCCACGATATACTGTACATCGCTATTGGTAAGCGCAGTGGCGTCGCTCTCGAAGCTTCTAGTAGTGTCAATGTGAGTAAGACTGGTGAGTAATGATACAACGAAACACTGTAGGTAAGCCGAGCCGTTGGTCATGGCTGCTTCCATAGCCTTACCTACAATCACACATCTCACTCAGTGGGACCTCAATAGGGACACTTACGGTTACGTCGGGCTACCCCCAAGGAGAGGCAGGATAGCACTGATGCTGTGAATGGGTCCAATGATGATATCAGCACCATACGGTAGATGAGACGGTATATGTCGTACTTCTGAAGAAGGGCCACACCTTCTCTAGTGGAGGATAGGACCTGTATGAAGCCGACAGTCTGCTGCGGGGAGCGGCCTGGTCTTACCCCGATCATAGCCCCATACTCTCGACTCAGCCGTCTGAACTGCTCTACAATACCGCCCTCGTCGGCAGGTCGGGTCAGGCCTGTATGGAAAACCAATGGCCCAACAGAGGGAGGTCAGTGCGAGCCTACTGTCAGCCGCATCCTTGGCCGCCCACTTGAGCCCACTCTGAACCGCTGGGTCTGCTCTCACCAGGGGAGGACCATCGGCAACAGGTTGGCCCCAGCTGCCAACTCTCTCAATGCGAGCACCACCAGGTGAGGAGGTGGCCGACTGAGCGCCGCTGGTCCCATCAGGGGTGATGGACGCCGCCGCCGCTGCCGACTTCGAACTGAGGCTGGTGAAGACGTTGGCAGTGGTGTAGGGTTCTGGTTGAGGGGACGAACGAGATCTGACGAGAAGCTTGGATACTCCTAAACTCACAGAGTAGTCATTCTCTCTATACAGAGATGTATTCGATGTGCTCTATTAAAACGGATAACGTACGTTTCCTCAGAGAGGCCACTCAATCCTCTCTCCCGAGCCCGTCGACCAGTGATGTCCATCCAGCTTGAGAGCTTCCTATCAGATCGAATGTCACGCTCCGCCCCTGTGATCGATTCGCTGAGCATTTTAGCCAGGTCAGCCGTGAAGGTGTGAGACTGGTGATGATGATGTTGCTGACTCCGCTGTTGACCATCGACCACAACGACAGTAGGGGTGTCCGCCGTTTCCCCCGGCACTCTGAATAGACACCCCATGCATAATGTCACTGAAATGAACTCACCCTAGATATTTCTCTCGAGCCTCTTTATGTGATACCACCAGCGCCAACAGTGTATTCGCCAATCTCGCCAGAGCAAGGCACTGGCCGTTCCAGGGCTGTGAGCCAAAGACAGGATTAGCCGCGGGACCCTGACTGGCTGGCCCCTCGTTCATGCTGCTGGTCGCACTCTCGTTGTCTAGTTCCACAAGGTCGGCCAAAGTCCTTGTCGTGAATGCACTCCATGAGCTTCTAGTGCGCCGATGGTGACGATATTGATGGTGTTTGACTGAGGAAAGCGAAGTCTGCCGGAATTACACCGAGGGGGCCCTTACTAGGTGAGAAGAAGCGGAGGAGTCTCTTCAAGAAATCAGTCTCGAACATGCATTGAAAGGCTACTGAGTGATAGCCACCATGGTCGATGCAGCCGTGGGCCACAACCCGATGGATAGTTGGCCAGTGCCAGAGACTGTAGTCTCTCGTACTCAACACTTTTGAGTCCATCAGAACCTGAGTCGGGTTATAGCTTATTGCAAGGAAGGGCTTCGAACATAGAGCAATATCATTTAGGACATACACGACCACCCGGTGTAGAAGACAGCTGAGCTCACTCACTCACCCTCATGACGTGCTCTTTATTGCTCCAGTCTATTCTATCACCGCTACTGCCAGCGATGACCTATAAGAGCGGATCTAATCAGTCACCACGACTCATTGCCCTACCCCGAGAGGATAGGCGGTGGCATTGGGCACGAACTGGGGCTGCTGGACTATCCTCAACATACCAGGCCACGATAGACACCCGACCGAGTTCACACCGTACTCGTAACAGCTCATACTGGCATCGTTGTCGGACAACTCTGGTACCTGAAAGGATCGGGCTGGGCCTCCCTGGGGAGCCTGTTGCACATTTACCCTCGATGGGAGGCACCAGTAGACCCCTGGATAGCCGAGGCTTCGATAGCTAGTCCAAGTGAGGTAGGTGTCGGTCTCAAGCCAAGTAAGGATCGATAGGCATCTTGAACGGAGTTGGACGGAAGTCTTATCTGAAGGAAGTGATGCTATACGAGAAAACAGAAGTCTTCTACCATGGTCGAAGTTGGCCGCTCTGGTCACAATCGATGTCATATGGTGGATATCGGGAAAAGAAGCCGAAGGCAAGAGGATCGTGACGCATCGTAGTATCTGGACGAGTATCATAGATGAGCGGGGACGAGTAGTTCATATGCAAGCCTTGAAAGCAGTAGTGGTTACGCTTACTGTATCGACTAGACTAGTGGCCTGATGGGCCACAGGTTCATTCATGGGGTCGGCCATAGTAGCCAAATAAGAGACGGCAGACGACAGACCAAACGTGAGGAGCATCCTCAATAGTAACGAACCTTGATGACGACAGTAGATGGTGAGGATATGAAGGTTGAAGGCCTCACCGAATACTCGGGTCATGTCCATGGGAGGCTCTTTACGGCAGACCAATACCTAGAGAGAGGCTCGTGGGCTAGTGACAAAGGAGTGTCCGATCTGGGTTTCATGAAAGGTATCACTAACTCCCGTCGATAAACTCTCATACGTGGTTGTCTCGAGTGCAATGGGACTCCGTAGAAGCAGTTGGACTTACTGCCTTGGACTCCTCATTTATGCCGGTATACGATCTCCCTCGAGCTGCCAGATTCAAGGCACTATTTCCGCGGGTTCTCGACCTGAGAAAGCTGACGATGTGATGAAGGTGTGGTATTCTCAGTCACCGTGGATGATCCCAGCTGAAGAGTCCGCGGTGGACCAGCATAGCCTGAGTGTCCTCGCTTCCACCTCCCATCGAATCAGGTCTACGCGGCAAGTCGCCGCTATCCGCTGAATAAGAAGGAATGGTCAACGGTAATGCTAGGGCAGCTCGGATCTTTATGGAGGCCTACTATAGATTGCCGATGAACGGTCGAACTGGGGTACGCACCACCAGCCCAGGACGTCCTGGAACAGTGTCAGGAGCTCCTTCACTATTGTCCTGAACAGAACATGGATCGATGGACAATTTGATAACAAACTAGCGAGACAAACGTGAAACAGCAGCAACAGCAGCTCTGGACACGACCATTGGCCATGACGCCTATCAGGTCTGCTGCTGTGAAATTCTCAGGAGAGAGATGGACACGGTGGTCGAGCAAGCACCATAACTTCAGAGTGCCGGAGGCCTACATGTCATTAAGCTTCTTCAATAGTTTGATGAGGGAAGCCAATCCCTCAGGATTCTCTGCTAGGAGAAGGAGACCAGGTATGGTACCTGTGGAGCAATATCCAACAACTGACGCTAGGATGGCTGGGCGTACACAATAGAGTGGATATACATCTACGTGCACATCGACACCGTATGGCATGTATCTCGTCCAAAGCTGCTTGTCTTGAGCCTTTAGAGCGCTCTCCTTGGGTGGAGCCCACTTCCTCTACAATAAAGAACAGTGATGATGGACTTCTCGGTGAGATGTCTGGATATAACAAGGATTATCATAATTGAAAAACATTTCCTTAACGGACTTAACGGCAGATTCTGCCGGGCAGAAGTGTATGCAAAAAACAGTTCCACGAGTCGAAATTGCCCTGTGAAACTGATGTTCTCATAGGTATAGTTATCCTCCGTCACCATAGAACTGAGGTTCTTATCCGCGTGGACGCAATGAGAATGATGATATCGATATCGACGAGAACTACTACTCCCAGATGGTGTGAAGATAATTTCCATACTCTCCACCGATGGGGAAATGACGAGGGAGAATCGGTTGAATTGTTGACTTCAAAAAGCAGGAGAACCGGAGAGATAAGATTCCATGGCTTGATAGTGGCTTCGGTAACCGCTGGCATAGCGGCCCCATTTAGGGGAAATATTTTCAAACTGTATATTTCGCTGGCATAGCGGCCCCATTTGCGAAAAAGGATTCCTGAATAGTATATTCCTCCGAGAGAGCGACCCCATTAGCCAAATTGTTTTTAAACAGTGTATTTCGCTGGCATAGCGGTCCCATTCGCCAAATTGATTTTTAGACAGTATATTTCACTGGCATAGCGGCCCCATACGCCAAGTTAATTTTTAGACAGTATATTGCGCTGGCATAGCGGCCCCATTCGCCAAATCGATTTCTAAACAGTATACTTCGCTGGCATAGTGGCCCTCTAAACAGTATATTTCACTGGCATAGCGGCCCCATTGGCCAAATGGCAGTGATGATCGCCGCATCATCATCATCATGGGCCTACCTCGATAACCGGTGAATATAGTGAAGACCTGTGTGAGGTCAACAGCAATCTGCCTCCTAGAGTATTCTCTAAGGTTGCCATCTTGGAGTACATGGACCACAGTCCAGACTATAGGCTCCATATGGATCGTCGACAGGACCGGGTCGAGACAGCCGTAATTGAATAGAGACTAATAAGACCAATAATGTGGTGGACATATAAGATACAACGAACTCACCCCTAAGGCACCATTTTTGATGGCATTTTTCGGGTCCTTTAGCAGAATCGTGGTCAGAGTGGAAAGACATAGGCTGAAACACTACAGTATGCTACAACTCCAAGACTGTTGCCTCACCTTCTCAATCCAACGTCCGTGGCTCCGCTGTTGGCAATAGCCACCATGGAACGCACGGCGCAGACAGGGATCTGCACAAGTGATAGAGATGTCAGTTTCACGCGCCACGAGATGCAGAACGTACCTCCTGACCATCTATTAGAGCCAAGCTGATCCATCTCCTAATGAACTTCATAGCTGCTGCCCGTTCACAGCGGTCATTGCTGACCTCAAGTCGGACGCAGACTAACTCCATTACACGCAGAGGCTTGAGTATCTAGAATGATGAAGTACCTTTACTATTGCAGAAGCTCTGTCCCATCGCAGAATAGCAAATGCGATAATGTGGCGTGTTAGATCCCGCTCACCACGGACAAGACGATGCCTGCCGAAACTGGTCTCATTGTATATCGCTGTGCTCTGAGAGCGCACAGTCGAACGCCTAGGTTCCAGTCGAATAGGTAGAACCGTAGCACAGACGCCAGTCGGCCAAGTATATGGTTGGTATCTGAAGCCCAACGAGTTATATCATCCATTCACTTCTATGAGAACAATTACTCATCATAGCTGAAGCCAAGCCTTTGAATGCTCCCTGTTGAGGACCAACGGTCGGCAATGGTGTGGCCGAAGGGGACGCAGTGGTTGATGATGCTGTAGACGACAGAACCTGGAGAGACGGCATCTAGCAGCCAGAATGGTTGGTATTATTCTTACTGTGGTGGCCCTGCGTATAAGATCCATCTTCCTTTTGGTATCCCCAACAACCATAGCTCTCTGCTTCAGTTCCTTACATATATTCTCCAATACTAGGACCTGATCGTTGCTCAACATTCCACCAGTCAGGACATTCTACGAGACAACTCTACTAAAAGCTCATCTATATGATTTCGTCCCGAGAGAAAGCCAGTAGTAACCCCTTCAGCGCTGTATAGCTGATATAGTAATGTCAATACTGTATTGAGATTGCGTCTGCGGCTGGCGTACATGACGAACGATCGCATCCCGCATTCATGCAAAGTACTCCGACACAAAGGATGCCCAGCAATAGTGTAATGCCCCCAATACATCGCCAGAGCGTGCCGAAATTCAACTAGCACCATAGGCCGAGCGCCTTCACTGACATCGTTAGTCTTTCCTATATATACCCCACCACAAGGAGCATTGGTGCCACCTGTACTACCTTTTGAGGTTCCAAACTGCCAGATGCTGATAGCTCCAATGCAAGATATTCCCTCTTGTCAACAGCCAGACTGTGATCGAATGATATCCCTGTGCCTAACCGGTCCATCGTCCCGTACTCCATCGTATCCAACACCATTACCCGGTGCGAACATGTTAGCCGCAAACACTGTAGCCCTACGACTACTCCTCAGCGGCACTGCAGGCTTAGTAGAAGTGGTCTTCGCTTGACTCAATTCGACAGAAGAAGGAGGAGTGCCATCCTCGGTAGTTGCCCCTGGGAAGTCTGATGTACTATGAATAAGATGTTCTGTGGGTGAAGAGGGCGATGACATGAATAAAATCGAACCGATCCTCGACAGAGGTGTCCTGAATGATGACATCTTTTGTAAATTACATAAGAACTCTACATTTCGTTCGTTCACATTATGAACGATTTATACACGCCTTATACCCATGCTATCAGTACCCATCATCCCTCCATTTAAAAACTGATATAGCACGCAACAGAGATGCAGCTGTCTGAACAACGAGGCATGCGCATAGCTCATGCTGATATATCAAAAACAGGAAGACGCTGATGATTCGATAGAATCGAAGCTTGAGTGATTGATCATCACAATACGGAAATACCTCTTCGGGATTGACAAGTGATCACGCTCACCGACTTAGCTGGGCCACCGCGTGTCACCTTTATTTTGTCGGAGAATACGAATCTAGAGTCCACTGGTAAAGTGCGGCTGTTGATCTTCCTTTCCCTCTGTATGTCAACTATATATGGGATCTTCACATAGGCTATGCACATGATCAAGCTGAGGACGCAGGTAATCGTGAGGGTATAGAGAAGATAGAAAATAGTCAACCTAAAGCAGTAGGAGTTCTGTTGGTGATAGAAGCTTATTGAGTACTTTGTGGATGTAGGCCTCATCCGCCATTTAGTAGGAGGGGCGAACCCTATTGGTAGTAGACCACCACTTTGGACGGGTAGGTCTATGGGAGCTAGACCAGGCCGACCCATAGTCGAGCTGACATCACATAACGAATCTACAGTTGTGATAACCCTCTACTATCAATGAGGGGCATGTCAGCATCTCCGTGCTTTTTGACTCTCCCTTGCACTACTACCTGGGCAAGTTCAACCCCATAACGCCGCCCTCAGTAGTCGTTGCCCTTCGCCGAAGCATCATATGAGGTGACTGAAGACTCGAGATGAACTTGCCTCCCAACCCATTATAAACCCACTTTAGTTTGGTCTCCTCCTACCCTGCCAACGATGCTTTCATCGCTATTCAATCTGTGATGGTGACGATGATGATGATGCTGTGATGTCGAAGGCCCCAGGAAAACACCAGAGCCGTGATGATGACTCTTAGTGCGGCTCTGAGAGGGGGGTAAACTACTAGGCAGGTTTCAATGGAAGAGTACCTTCTCAGTGTGGTGTCGTTGGGCACCTCCAGCACCGAGAGCTAATAAAATAGTGACGCTTATGGAAACGACGTAGAAGCTGGGCATTGGTCAAGGCCACTGCAAAATCGTTTGAGTGGAGTTTCACGATGGAGATTCGAAATGAAAGTTTCTTCGTAGAATAAATTCCCCTAGGTGAGAACGAAGCCTCTTCGTTTCTACTGAGATCCGATAAGATAATTGAAAATCCGAATCGGTATACAAAACCGGCCTGACAACCACGAAAGTTAAATGATGCTGATGGTGGTCGACCAAGACAGCAAAGTGTGCTGCTGGGCGCGCGCTAAATTTTGGTAATTTCGTGGCGCGCGACATGGAGAAGAATCTTGAGTGAGTAGTAGGTAGATAATAGACAGCAGTCAGTGTTGAGTGCCAAATGACTTCTTCCGAATCTTCCTCCTCAAGTAGCGAGGCTGGCGGCTCGTCAAGCTTTGAAGAGGCTCTAGAGTGGGAGGATTGGAAAGGGGACATACCCTTCATTCACCACGCCATTGCTGGTTCATGTGCTGGTATTGCTGAACACGTGGCCACGTTCCCTTTAGACACTATAAAGGTATGCTACCACTACATAGTATAGTGTGTTCTGAGGCATCTTATGTCAGACCCGAATGCAAGCCTATTCTGGTGCTGGTGGCAGCGTACGATTATCAGCCGTTTTAGAGGCGGTACGGTCTGAGTACGGTCTTAAAGGCTTCGTTCGGGGCTGGGGAGCGATAGCTACTGGCTGTGTCCCGGCTCATATCGCTTTGTTTTCCGTATATGAGAAATTAAAGAACGTGTAGTAGATCGCTGCAAGCGGAGTTATAATGGAAGTTGCCTTTTCAGAATGGGTGTTCAAAACGAGCACTGTGCGTATCGCGTGCCCAAGTCACTGCTATGTGGTGCACTAGCCCAGTTCGCCCACGATAGGTACACTCTATGTTATGCCTATACTATATAGCTCATTGTTCAGTATACTAACGCCGATGGACGTCGTGAAGCAACGGTTGCAACTTGGGTGTTATCGAGGAACCTTCCACTGTGTCAAGAGCATGGTAGTGCTCGGGTGGAATATACATTAATAATTTTATTTTCTTACATACCACTCCTTTATCAAATGGCACGGGTAGGTACGTACAGAAGGCGCTGTGTCACTTTTCCGGTCCTTGCCTATAACGGCACTAATGAACGCCCCACAAGGAGCAGTGACTGTAAGCATACCACCCTATGTCTCCCTGGATCGAGGGCCTTCCTAGGTAGCTGTGAATGAGGCTATCAAACGTGTATGGGGAATAGGAGAGGGCGATAAGAATCATCTGCCGGCCTACTTTATAGCCGCGGGAATAGCTGGTCATAATGGGAGGGGTTAGTTTAGGAAGAATAGACCGGGGAATGACTCATCACTCAAGTTGCCATTCAGTTTCATAGAATGGCAACTTTTGTCAAAAATGGTTTACAAGGGCGCACACTGAGTTCGGGTTCAACAGGACGCGCGGCATTTCATTTCGTCGTCTTATGCATAGTTGTTGTCGATGACGACTACCGCATCAGGTGGTATAGCATCATTGACTACCCAGCCCTTGGATGTTATTAAGACCCGTCTCCAGACTCAGGACTGTTTGTGTCGAAAGGACCAGACCAAAATGCGGCCTCAGGTGATACTCCGATACTACCTACGCTTTGGAAAGCATTTTTGTATCAGATTTGTCCTCGGAAGGCAGCTGCCTTACAGGCTCGTGGAATCGTCTCAGCCACCGGGGAACTCCTCGTGGACCCTTCTGAGGTACTCATTGGTAACGGGCAACGTGGTCCATCATCCCATACAGATCCCAGAGGCCACCATGGCCAAGCTCAAGGCTAGAGGTATCGACCTCAATAACATCAAAGCGAGCATGGCCCCTCCGATGAGGGCAGCCCAGGTAGTACAACTATCCTTTTCTCATTGTAATTCATCGTTGCTGCATCTTAGACCGCCCCCCGGTACGGATCAGTGTCGTCTGCAGCTAAACTAATATGGAAAGAGGAGGGCTTCAGAGGATTCTTCAGAGTAATAATTATAATACTGTTTCTACCATACAAGCTAACATCAGGGCATGGTACCGAGATTCTGCCTCGCCATACCGGCTACTGCGACCTGTTGGGGAACCTACGAGACCGTCAAGGCTCTATTAGCCCGACTGTGATCGTCAACTTAGCCATTCGTTTCACTGCCGTGTACTATAAACTGGCGGCTCCAAATGAACCGCATACAATTGGAAAGGCATATCTAAGCCTCTGCTGTATTATACTCACCGTTCGAAGTTTGCTTTCACTGGACTAGCATTGAGATGATACAAAATGTTTCCTTTCCAAAATTGGAATTACTTGTGTTAAGAGCAACTCAAATGCTGTTATTTCGTCTTGAAAAAAAACCAGGGGCATGTCATAAAAATTCGTCGGCTACGACTACAACTTTCCCTTCTGAAAACCTTGTGCCTGTAGGGCCTCTGCAAGCGCGGCCACACCGGTTTTAGCAATTTCCCTACGGGAGTTGTAACCCATGAGACCAATCCTCCACACCTTCCCTGCCAGCTCTCCCAAAGCAAGTCCGATTTCGATGTTGAACTTTTCCCTCATATAGACGACGACAGCTTTGCCGTCAACGCCTTGAGGAATGCGGACCGTAGTCAGACTCGGCAAACGAATGTCATCATCAGTAACGAGCACTTCTAGGTCCAACTTCTTCAGCTCATCTACGAGATAGTCGGCGTTTGACTGGTGACGGGCCCACACGTTCTCGAGACCTTCCTCAGCTACTAGTTGGAGAGCGGCCCTCATAGCGTAGATCATCGAGATGGGTGCAGTATGATGATAGACGCGCGGGGCACCGCCAGAACTCTGAATGTACTTCCTTATCATGGTCATATCCAAATACCAATTGGGCACCTGCGAAAAGAATGACCAATACAATTAGACATGTGAACTTGCTTCTACCGGAGTGGTTCTGGCAGCGAGTTTGGTCAGAGCTCGATCGCCGAAAGTGAGAGGGGCCACGCCAGGGGGGCATCCCATGCACTTCTGGGTACCAGCATAGGCGGCATCAACCATCCATTCGTCGAGATAGACTGGAACCCCACATATTGACGTCACAGTATCGAGCAGCAGAAGACAGTCGTGTTCCCTGCACAGGTCGCCGATACCGTCCATGGGCTGCTTGGTCCCAGTAGAGGTCTCAGCATGACAGATCCACATGAGCTTGGGCTTATGCTCCTCGAGACCAGCACGGATCTCATCCAAGGTAAACACTGTGCCGTAAGGCTTCCTAATGTGCTCGACCTTAGCACCGTACCGACTGTGCATATCAAGAGCACGCTCTCCGAAATAGCCGTTGACGCATATAAGGTGGGTGTCACCAACCTCAGTCAAGTTAGCGATGGCGGCTTCCCAGGCGGCACTCCCGGTACCTTAGGAAAGCCGTATAGAAATCACTGAATCGTATACTCACCAGACACGGGGATGGTGAAGGTGTTTTTGGTCTGCCACACATAGCGGAGGAGCTTCTTGAGATCTTCGACGATGACCAGAAAATCGACGTCCATATGGCCGACCTGAGCACGACAGTTTACGAGGTGGTCTAAAGTGAAGGACCCACCTGTGGGAGGGACATAGCGGCGTGGACCTCGGGGTGGGCGTTCTGGGGCCCAGGGCCAAGGAGAAGTCTTGTGGGGCCTTTGAAGGGCTTCACCTCGCCAGAAGAGAAGGGGTTGTCTACCAGCATGTGGGGACAAAAACTACCCTGAGAAATAGTATACTGACGATTTCCACACGCAAGGAAACCTTCCTGTGTGAGCTCCGAGATGAGTTCAAGTCTAGTCTGTCACTAAATCACATATATGAGCTCCTATCAATGGAAATACCGGCAAACGAAGTTCATAACCGTAATTCGAGTCATTGCTATCCCACGAGTAGAATGTGTTATACACCTCTTGTACGGACGAGACGTACGAGGCTCCAGAAGCTCTCAAGAACGCATGACCATGAAGTTGCGTTCAGGGGCGTGCGCACTTTCGTCTGCGCAAGATGCTTTGGATTACGCCACTTTTGTACTAATCCACTTTTGTACCAAATCAAGTAGCGCTCGCCCCTATTTTAAAAACTTCCCTTCGGGAAGCGCTTCGCTCCGCGAACCACTTCTGTGCTAAAATCGTTCCTTTTGTGGAAAATTTGACCCAGTTGATTGAGCTTGTACCACTCTCAAACCACTTCTGAACCAAATGAAATAGCGCTCGCCTTAGAACAAAAATAGCAAATAGTTGATCGAATAGCTCTCCGTCAGGTCGAAAACTGAGCAGAGGTCCTGACTCAAGGAAGTACTATTCCTGATGACATCGTGGATATGTGGATGGCTATGCTCTGTCGGCAGGGTGGGGTTACAGCTGCTCGAGGCGTATTGGTGGGAACAACTCACTTCGGCTTCTCGCGGGTCATTGATAGCATCCTGAAAGCCGTGAGCTCTATCTCCAACCCGTTCTAGATCCGACATGTGGGCACTATGCCGCATCTGCCGTTGTGGGTGGTCAGGTGTATTTCATGGACAGTATGAATATGTCGGTCATGTCTTCGGGTTTTTTTTGGACAAGCCCTACGCCAGCTGTATGGTTCAAAATGTGTACTTAATAATTCGGGTTACGGGAGCAATTTATGCGGAGTTTTTGTTATCGCTAAACTCAACTCTGGTTTTTTAACCGCCAGTGGTTTCATCTTTCCGTGTTCGATGAAGCTGTATGAGATACCATTCGGTTGCATGCATTACTAGGAAAGAAAATAGCAGGTTTCCGGAAATCTTTCCCGCGCCAGCTAGCATGTTATTCTCACCTGAAGGGAAATTCAATACCTGAGTTTAAAGTTTTTTATGAGTGTAGTTGTCAATTAAATATTCCACAGATAATTCCTTAATATCGGACGACGATGATAAGCGTTCATTGATCACCCAAGTTGGGTGACCCAACTAGCTATGTCTGCAGTGCAGACTCTGCACCCTTATCAGAACTTTTGCCGCTATGTATCAAAACCACAGTTACTAGTGAACATAATTCCTAATCTATTGATGATTTCCGAAACCATAGCTTTGACTACGTTACTTAACGTACGAAGTATAACCACTAGCGGCTAGTAAACCTCAACACAGTGTACTAACTTAAGCTGTAGCCTAAGTCCTAGGCCAGTAAGAATGAGAAGCTTAGCTCACTCCTGTCCTCAGTCTAACCTTTAAGAGCACTGGGCAAGTGCCCGAGTAAGGCCTCAGCACGCATGCAGAAATACGTGACGCCACCGGTGTCACGGCGCACAAAAATAACAGTAATAACAGAGTAATACAGTCAAGTACAAACACCGGGAAACCGTATAATGGTTCATGAGTCTCCGTACACTGCGCTGGAGCGCACAACGGTCTGTAATAATTACGACATAATTTAGGAGTCTACACTTGTAGACTACAAGGAATGAGGTTATACGTTGAGACTTGTTAAATTGCGTTAGACGCAGGACGTCCTCGGCTCTCCTCGCAGTGAGGGCTTCACTCACAGTAGCGGAAGGCAGGTCGTTTTAAGACGTGTGAAAAAACCCAAGTCGTAAAATTTAACCCGTGCAAAAGCATCCCAAAAATTTAGTGCAGAAGTGGAAGTAAAGTTTCACCCGGTGTCAAAAATTTCTTTATCGGAAAAAATAAAGTGAGTAAAAACGTGCAGAATTTGGTACAACAGTGGATATTTTACCCACTAAAAAACTTAATCGTTTGCGTGCGAAAAAGTCCAGATCCGGTATAAATCGCTCACCTATCATCGTTTAGTACAAAAGTGGTTTAGTACAGAAGTGGAGACACGATGCTTTGGGGGTTCGTTTCGAAACGTCGAATGGTTTGGTTCTTCAACACTTCGTACAGGGGCCATCGCTTGGTACCATTATGCCTGATAGACCGATACAGTGTGTGTTGGTATTACGGACAGCGATGGATAAAGAGCTTTCCGAAAGTGACTTGTCTCATACCGATGCCCTATTGGTGACTAGACAAACTTCCTTGTTACACTATGCAAACATCGTGAGCCACCACTGCCGTCTTGTCGCGCGGCTTAGTCTTCTATCGTATTGCTCCTGGTCTTCTTAGTGTTAGATTCCCAGTATGACCACTACAACATCAGACTCCGAGCCCGTCGCCCCTGGTCCATTCCGCGCTAAGGACCTCGAGCACAGCACCTCTGCATTTCGGTGTATATCCGAAGCCCATCATGGGTAGGTTACCACCGAGTTCCTAACCGGTGGCAGGCAAAGAGTGTTCGTAGATTCGTGTCTACTTTCAGGCAATCCGGCTCAAGTCTGGAGTGGAACAATCTTACGTTCAAGATCGGTGACAAGACTATCCTTAAAGACTGCACTGGTCTGCTCAAGCCAGGGGAGCTCACAGCAGTGTTAGGCCCCTCGGGGTCGGGCAAATCTACGTTGATGAACGTCCTTGGTGGTCGTCAACGGGCCAAGGGCAACGGGAAGTCCTTCGAAGGAGCGGTGTCCTTCTCCGGTCAAGTCGACGAGCCCGTAAGGTTCCGTAGCCGCATTGCCTATGTGATGCAAGACGATTCGCTCATCGCGACGAGTACCCCTCGGGAGATCCTCGAGTTCTCCGCCCGGCTGCGCTTGGGTGCTAAGCAGAACATGACCAAGGATGAGGTAAAGCTTGTTAGTGTTCTCTTCCCCGTCCATCTCGCTCCATTTTTAGGTTAAATGCCTTGTTCAGGATCTTATTGAGTCATTGCGTCTCACATCATGCTCGGAGACTCTTGTTGGCAACGAGCTTATCAAGGGCATTTCTGGTGGCGAGAGAAAGCGCACCTCGGTTGGTGTGGAGTTGATCACTAAGCCTGACATGATCTTCCTCGATGAGCCTCTCTCGGGTTTGGACTCGTACGCTGCCTTCACTACTGTTACGGTCCTCAAGGAGCTGGCCGAGTCCGGCGTTCCAGTTATGATTACTGTTCACCAGCCGTCTAGTGAGATCTACCAGCTCTTCGATAACGTCATGATTTTATCCGCTGGGGAGATGGTCTACTATGGGAAGACCAGTAAAGTCACAGAATTCTTCGACGTGCATGGGGGCCTACGGTGTCCGTCCAACTTCAACCCTGCGGACTTCGTGCTCTTCGTACTGCAGACGGAACCGCAAGAAACTATCCAAAAGTTGGTATCAGCGTACAAGAAGAATGCTGAGGAGAATATCGTACCTGCTATCAACAGCATCCGACAGACGCACAAGGAACTCGCTATTGATACGACTGGTCCTGGTCGGGCCAGCATGATGGTCCAATTCCGAGAGCTTCTCTATAGGGAGATACAGGGTACAATGAGAAACCCTGTGGTCCTTATTATGCGGTATATGATACTTCTGGTTCTCGGTCTGACGTTCGCCCTCATCTTTTTTGACGTTGGTGAGAGCAGAGATCAAGACTATTGGCTCGGCAACGCTGCTGTGTTCCAGAGCTATTTCGGTGCCATTGTCGCTCTCAACATTATGGCCATGATGGGATCTGCTCAGACCGCCGTCCTAGCCTACCCGGCTCAGCGAGGTATCTTCTTACGTGAGTATGCGTCGAACATGTACTCCGCCGTGCCCTATGTTGCATCTAAGACCTTGGTTGAGCTCCCACTGTCGTTCGCCGACTCGCTCTTCTTGATGATAATAACCTATTGGTTGATGAACCTCCAAGGCAACTTTATTCTGTGGGTGCTCACTTTATGGCTGGTGAATCTGTGCGCTTCGTCTCTGGCCCAAGTCCTCGGCGCCTCCTGTAATTCAGCAGCTCAGGCTATTCAAGTCCTACCCCTACTAACAGTGCCACAGATCCTATTCGGTGGTATTTTCACTCCGATCGAGAACATACCAGTGTGGCTTCGCTGGTTGCAGTACGTATGCTTTCTGAAATACGGTGTAAATATCGCATATTTGATTGAATTCGGTGACGATTTTGACGTTATCAATGATCAACAAAATATTGATCCTGACCTCATTGGTCTCTATTTGGGTGTCACATTTGGTCTTCTTGTTGTAATGAGAGTAACATCTATTATTATTCTGAAGAAGAAAGCGAAGTTCGTTTTCTAAAGTTGTTAACTTTGCTATATTCTCTCAGTATTGAAAGTTAATTACGACATCTAGACCTATACCGGAGCAGTCGCCTCCGTCGTGAGGAGTCTGGACTCCGATTATTACGCCGTGTATGGTGCACGTTGGTGAGTTGAAGAACTCTTGCGTTTGTTAGTGTCATGCGAGTCATCACTCTAGGCAGTGTATCATACACTGCCTAGAGTGATGTATCATCAGAGTGATGTATCATCTAGGCAGTGTATCATACAGTGTATTACAGACATTGTGTATGTGATGGTAAATCCACTGTATACTCTATGTTGTGCGTATTCCCTCGCACACGTGGTGATTGCGATACCTCTGAGACCGGGACTACCCAGGATCAACATCACATTTATTGCACCGTTAACCGGAATCGACAGCTACTATTACGGCGTGGCAGCTGTTGACATGATAGAGCGATGGGTGCTGAAGGTATCTCCTGCGGAGAGGATATACTGTTTCATCATAATGATCGAGTCCACTGCTAGGTTGATACAGACTCCACCTTCCCTTTTCGGATAGTACCTGAATACATCGATATACAGAGTGCTAGCGATGTAGAAAGCGCGCGAAGAGCTTCCAGGGCAATCGCAACTGCAGCGGACAACTCCGTATTCGTTATCGGGGCAGGAGGTGTAGATGTACCGGATGGACGGGTGAGTGAAACTGAGCGTGACGTCTCTTTGGGCATGATCTCTGCCGTCGGGGACTGTCGTGCGATTTCGATTCGCCTTGACTACTCGCGAATAACACAGGTTGTCCTGTACGGTGTTCAGAACGTTATCCTGGATCCCGGGTTTATCGTTGAGCCTTGCAAGGATCGCGAGAAAGGGATATTGTGCGCCCCGAGACCTTCCTTCAGCGAAGGTGAGCTCTAACTTATGTGTGGAGGAATCTCCCATCACAGTGGTAGGAGAATACCGTCGAACAGCTATCGAGGCCATGCCGGCCAACACGGCGAGAGCTTTCGTTATCGCGGGGCGCACACTTGAGAACGATACCACGACCGCAACATGTGGCCAGGACATACTAGAAAAATCATGGCTCGGAAGTCCCGAACCCAACCTGTATGTTGACAGTCTTTGGGAACCCTCCCAATAGAAGAAATTCTCAGTGTATCTGGACATGCGTGGTCTCCACTTGCGCTTAAGTGATGATATT